GCCAAGGAACATTTCCCCTCAGCAGTTTTTCCTGGCAGGGTGCAGAGAAGAAGAACATGAATTAGAGGCAGCATGGTGCTCTGGGGGGTTGCTGCCCAGAGCTGGGGGTTGTCAGGCAGCTGGGCCACAGGAGATGTCTGCTTGATTATTCTTTCCTCCTTTCGAGCCAAAGGGGCTTTTTAAAGGATGTTTGTTTCCCTCCTTCTTCTTTTTAAGGCTCTTTTTTTTTTTTCCAGGAACAAATGCCAGCTCAGAGAGAACTGACTCACCAATGTGAATAAGTATTAAACCAGACAGGTTTAATAGAGAGAAGGGAAACAATCTCTCAGCCTTGCTTCTTCTCTTTGAGGGGGCCCCTTGCACAGCATCTCTGCTGGCAGTGGCCCCCAGGTGACAGCCTGGACTGGGCACACCTGGGGATGCTCACTGGGACAAACTTGGGGTCCCTCCCTCTTTTGTGTCCCTCTCTTCCTCCTGCACCCCAAATCTAATGTGCAAGCAGCAGCTCAGCCACAGAAGTGCTGCTGGAACTGCAGCTCTGAGCACAGGGCAAGGAGGCTTTCAGAGAAGCTGCAACCTTACTTGGAACAACTTGAAGCTCAGGAGTATCTGTGGAGGCCCTGCTGGTTGTGCAAGATGGGATGAGACGTGCTCAGTGCCTGGTAGACTGGCTGGGGAAGGGGGAATGGAGGCTGCTGTGAGCCCTGGTTGGGAGCACTGGGAGTTGTTTCTCTGTGGGACCCCAGCACTGAGCACAGCTGGCCGTGGTGCCACCCCTGCCTGAACTGCACTGCAGCAGTTTGGGGACACATGTGAGACACCTGTGTCCTGTTGGTGTCCCACAGCTCCTGCGTTTGTCCCTGCAGTCTCTCTGCTTCCCTGAGCTCTTCCATGGAGTGTCTGTCTCATCACTGCAGACGAGACTTGTTTTGGGGTAGGGAAAAGGTCCTGCTGGGGGTCCCCATGTTGTCCTGCTCATTTCCAGCCCCAGGACCCCACTCCGGCACAGGCTGACATGCAAAAGCTCTGCTGGGTAGGGATCAGTGGGAGCCTGCAGGGCTCAGGGCTGAGCTCTGCCAATTCCCCCTCTCTGCTTCCCCCCAGGATTTGATGCAGCCCTCTGGGCAGAAGGGGATTCTTTTTCTCCCTGCTGATTCAGCTCCTGGAGAAAAATGCCCTGACTGAGCCATGCCAGGTGACTCAGAGCATATCTGGGGAGAATCAGCCTGAGCTGGTCAGGGAAGGCTGCAAACCTCCACTCTGGAAAAATGAGCAAAGGCAGCAACCCAGGACAGGCAGGAACCCAGGAAAGACTGGGAAAGGGAGCCTTGCCAGAACCTGGACCTGCTTGCTGCTGCCCTCCATGCCTTGGACCTCTGGGTACACAGGGAGCTTCCAGGAGCTGAGGGAGGCACAACTGATACCAGTGGGGCTTCATTATGAAGCCAGAAAACAGGGTCAGCACTGATATGATTTAACCAAAAACCCCTCTTTGCAGCAACCTTGGGCTTTCCAAGCATGTGGCTCAGAGAAGGTGCAAACATCACTGCTCTGCAGCTTGAGATGGATTTTGGAGGAGCAGCTACATTTGAGCTAGAGAGGAGAAAACTTTGGGCAAGATTCACAGGATGCCTGTCTCTCACGGCTGGGGGAGCTCAGTGCCTCTGAAAGGTGACTGGGGAAAGGTGATAGGAGCAGAGAGCATGTGGATCTGAGGGAGTGGTGGTGTGGGGAGCCAGGATTTTGGAGTTGCAGCTTTTGAGGGCATCAGCAAATAGAGGAAAGGGAGAAGAGCTGGGCAGGGGAGCCCTGTGTGCTGCAGGGTGACTCCTCTGGTGCCCTGCCCTGTTGCTGCCTCCAGGCCCTCCCACTGCCCTGAGCTATCAAACTAGGTGGGAAAATCAGTGCTGTGGTATCTGCATCCCCTTCAGCCCAGCCACTGCTCAGTTTGTCATTTCTCCTGCATGCCTACCCTGATCTGAGCACAGACCCAGCAATGCTCCAAGGGGCCAAGCCAATGGGGGTACATATGGGAATGATTCCTGCTATCCTTCCCTCCACCCCCATGACCCACAAGCAGCACAGCCACCAGAGATGGGGCAGATCCTGCCCCTTTTCCTTACCCTGTCTCTGGGCTCAGCTGCTCCCTGCAGTGCTTCTCCCTGCCTGGCTCCCAGCTGGGCTTTCACTAAGCACTGGGGTCATGCACAGGGTATTAACATGCTTAGCTTTCACCCACCACAGGGTTAAGCTGTGTTCCCAGCCCCATCTGAGTGGGAGCAACCAAAAGCAGGCAAATAAAGGAAGAGATGGGACTTTGCAAAATGAAAAACACCTTTATTTTTAAACTCTTTCTTTAAAAACGTATTTGTAAAAGTTTACAGCATAAAAATAATATCTCATGGCTATAAATGTGACATAGTACAAATCCTACAAATACAACTGTAAACCTAGAAAAGTGTTAACTCTTTGGTACCTTAGTCTGAACTCTGTTTTTCCCTTTGCCCTCATGGTGATTTTGACAGAGAGCATGGAGATAGGTGCTGCTGCTGTTCAGAAAGGCTGCAGAGGAACCGTGTGATGCCAGCAAGCCAGCACAGCAGATGGGGAGAGGGCACACTTTGGGCAAGATTGGCAGTTCTGATACAATCAGTCCATGAAGGAGGAAAGAAGAGGAATGATGGGACACTGAAGGCCTCCCACCCCAGGCACGAGTCCTCTCTCCAAAGTGCTGCTGGAGCAGCTCCCCTGCCTTTGCCAAAGCCAACCAGATCCACCCTGGCCTGTCCCAGAGGCCTCAGGTCTCCAGGTGAAAAATGGGAATGATGCTGGTAGCCCAACAACCCGTCTGCTGGGCTATGAAAAGGTATTCTTAGCAATATCTGGCCTGCTTTGGGCAGGTGCTGCAGATGCCATGGTGCCTCCAGTGTCACACTCAGCATGCAGGCAGGGCTGGGATGTGCTGCAGCAATGCCCTGTGTGGCCCTGGAGCTGCCCTGGCTGCTCTCTGCCTGGCAACCACCTGAGGCAAAGGGTGCCAAAAGGGCACTGAGGGCCACCAAAGGGCAACCTCTGTGCTCTCCAAGTGGGAGCACATCCAGGCTGCATCCAGGCTCCCTGATGATCCTGGAACCTGAGCCAGGCACTGAGCCCAGCCATGGCTCCTCCTTGCACGTGTGTGTTGGAACAGAGGCTTTGTCTCCTCAGCACTCTGTGAAATCCCCTTCTCCAGATTTGCCAGCTCTGCACAGACCTTGGGCTTCCTCAGAGGCAAGCCCTGAGCGCTCAGTGCCCTGCATTTGTGGTGCTGTCTCCCCACAGCCCAGAGCCCTGGCTGGGAAGAAAGAGAAGAGCAGCTTCTCGCTCCTGGCTGACTTCCCCTGGCTTGCACATCTGCACTGCACTTCTGCCCCATCCCCGTGGGACCCTGCCACAGCCCCCTTGGCAGGTGAACAGAGACAATTTAGTCACAAGTAAAGTCCACTGTGCTCTAGATTTCACACAACACAAACAAACACGAAACGTGACACTCGCGCTTCAGGAAATAACACAAACTGAGAAGGACAAAAGGATTAAAACCTGTGCACACATCAGTCTGAGGAACACCTAAATGTGGAAAGAGACACCAGAGTGCTGCATTAGTTTCTGGGATACACATATGAAATAGTGAATGGCAGTAGGATTATGCATATACTGGTTCTGATAACAATGTAACAGCTGTAGAGTAAAATATAATCTACAAATAAAAAGATATTGCACTAGAGATGGGCCCAAGCTGTGGCATGTGTTCCTTCATGGGGGGCTCAGTTTGGGTCCACCTCTAAACACAAAAACACACCCAAACAAAAATACTGATTATCAAACCAGAAAACCCAGTGGGACCAGTTCCCTTCAGAGTGTCACTGGCGAAATTATGGCTACAAAACTGATGGGCCCAGAACAGGCAAACCTTTCTCCTGGCCCTCACCTGCCAGGCCATGCAGGGACTGGAGCAGAGAGAGACGGAGTGTGGGGCTGGATCTGTCATCCCCAGCTCTGCCAAGCCCTCTCTTGGAGGGATGCTTAGGAAAATATGTTGGCTTTGTCCAGCTGCCAGCTTGTCTCTGCTGAGAAGGTCTGGTCACTGCAACTTGCTAAAGGTGCTGTGAAAGGTTGAGTAAGGACAGGAAAATACCACAAAGTGCAAGACTCAGCCCTTAAAATCACAGGCCAAGGGCAAGTATTTGGTCACATTCCTCTAGAGTGCAGAATGTACCATTTTGCAAAGTCTGGCATACCTACTTTAAGAAGGAATAGGGAGGTGGGAGTAGCATCCCATCAGCGGCCAGAACAGATTTTGATGCAAATCATAATTGCAGTAAATCTACAAAAGAGACAAAATGCAATAGGCATTCAAATGTTGCTAATGGCCAGCTAATAGGACAGGATACCTGAGCTCCCCCAGCAGGGAGATCTCCCCTTCCAGGACTGTGGAAATTATTTGATAGTGGGAAATTAGTAATTTAATTAGCAATTAAATCTGTACAAGATGAAGTTTAGAACAGGATTTTTGAAATAAGGAAATGCCAAAGGGAAAGTGAGAAGGTGTTAATAGATGGGGAAATCTTTGGGCTGAAGGAAGGTAGTAAAAGTAGCTCTCTCAGATTGTTCTGGTTGCCAGAAGTATCTAATATTTTTATTAGTCAGTCCAGCCCAAAAATAACAGTTTGTTAACAAAATTTGCTGATGACCCAATGTCTGGAACAGCAGGGAGTAGCTTGGTTAGAAATGCTGCAAGTGTAGAAAGACGTAGGTGCCTAGATGGGTCACAGGATGACTCTAAGCTCTCAGTATGTTGTGGCTGGGAAAAAGCCAAAATTATCCAAAGCTACACCAGGCAAGCTGAGACCAGTACAGGCCAGAATTGTTAATGCCCTGTGTGAGGTCTAGGCTTGACCTCACCTGGAGTACTGGGTACTTCTGGTCACCTTTGGTAGAGAAGGATTAATTAAAAATGGAGCTGGTGCAGACAGGGGCTATTAGGATAATCTGATGTGCCATCCTCTGGGCTCAAGTTGCAGTGACACAGATCCTATCAAGCACCTTACATGTTAAAAAGAAATCAAGTGATCTGACCCAAAGGATCTCATAAATTACTGCTTCTCTGCGGAGAGGATTATTTAATGAACTGTGGCCACAGAAGATGGCTCCTTCATTACAAGCAGGAGGAACAGAGGATGGAAAAACAGTTGTCATTCACAGTATGTTTCCTATGGATGGTGGGGAATCTGACCACATAGGCTGAAAATATCCTCTGCTGGATGCCACTAAAAGTGCTATTTCTTATGTTCACATTTTACCAAGGACATCAGCCCACAAAACACCTACTCCTCCTTTAGCTGCATAAATGGCAGAACCGGAATGGTAGAAAACTTTAAACAGAAGCTGTTCTGCTGGGGATTTCTGACAGAAGTTCCATATTTTGAAAAGAAAATTAAATTCTCAGTGGCTCTGAGGTGGCAGAAGCCCAGCAAGATGCTGCCTGAATTTCTGATTTTGTGAACCTGCCTGTGCAGTTCCTGTAGGATGCACAGAGAGATGTGCAAGAGTAGGGCAAGGAAGAGTTAATGGGAGCAGGGGACATGCAGTGAACAGAGCTCTGTGTGAAGTGAAACTCATTTCAGAGAAAAACCTGCTGTCTTCTGTGGTGTCAGAGCTGTGGTTTTGGGGGTCCAGCTTTCATCTCTGCAGAGGTGGGGCTCACAACTGATTTCCAAAGCCTGGTGCTCCTCCTGCTTTGGGTCTGCTCATTCAGTGCCAGCTGAGAGCACAAGAAGCCCCTGACCCATTGGTGAGAAGTGGGGAAGGAGGGCAGAAGCAGGGGGAAGGTCTGGACCTGTTTAGTTTTCAAAACACTCTCCAAGAGAAAGGAATCCTCCCCAGTTCCTCTTGCCCTGCTTGGTTCTCTGTGATATTTCACAGCCCTAGCAGGCTGCAAGTGGCTCTGACTGACCCCAGAAGGTTGCAGGGTGTGAGATACAGTTCAGCTGTGACCAAGGAGCTTCCCAGCCACTCTCCCTCTTTTTCTTTGGAGCTATGCCTGGGTTGGTGTTCTGCTATCCTTATTGCTGCCCATAATCTTGCTGTGACTCAGGAGGGAAGGGTGAGTCCTCCCATCCTGAGAAGGGGTGTTTGGGTGAACAGTTTATCAAAGGTGAGCCTTTGCTTCCCAAAAATAAGGCACAAGGATTCTGCAGCTGGCGTGGTTATATGATTTCCCAGCAGATGGGCTGGCTGTAGTGGCAGTAGATTAATGAATAACCATATTGCTTCCTTATACTGGCCCTGGCTAGTGGATTAATATATTTGTTCCCTTTAAGTCTTCAATGGAGAAAAATTAGCTTAGTGTCCACACAGACAACACTAACAACAGTGACTGCCCTCTTTGCTTTATAACCAAGTCATTGTGAGGGCATTTGGAGCTCCTGGCATGTCCCTGGGGCTCCTGGTGCCACACTGGGCACAGAAGGGTGTGACAGCCTCCAGGTGGGTGCAGAGCTGTGCCCCAGAGCTGTGAACACCTGTAGTGCTTGTGATGCTCCATCCACCATGGAAGCACTGCCAAGAGAGGAAAATGGGAATTCTGTACCTCCCAGACACTGGCTGGCCTCTTCAGGCTTGGAGGAGAATCCAATCCAGTACTCCTGGCCTCCAGCAGCTGAAGGTTGGTGCTGCAGGTTCTCTACAGCCCAGCAATGGGCTCCAGGTGGATGATCTGTCCCAGTGGCATTTCACAGAACCACAGTGTGGCTGGTGCTGAGACCATCAGAGAAGTGCTGGTGCAGAGGAGACGAAACCCTGTGCCATGGAGGAGGAAGAGGCTGGAATGTCATCTTAGCAATGCACAAAGTGGCCTCTCGTGGGGATCCAACCACGTCTTCCATTTGAAAAGGTGTTGGTCTGTGAGATGTCTCCCTCCTGCAGTGGTTTGGTCACTGAGGAGGATGTGGCAGTGATGTAGAGGGTGTCTCGCACTGAGACACCTCTTTTTAAGGGGGAAGGGGATGACAATGGGGAAAAGTCTTTAATTCCCCAACCAGCACTGGGAGACAGGAGGGAAGGAGGAATGCTGGTGCAGGAGGGGATGTCCTGATGTACAAGCACAAGCATGGCTCTCTGTGACATCTGGGTCAGCCCCCTCAGCTGGCCTCTCCATAGGGAGATGCAAAGTCAGCCCAGCTCTGACTACAGGAAACTTTCCTCCACCTCTTGGTGTCCTGTGGTTGGCTCCTGGCAGCCTGGCTGTGGGTCAGATTCCTGCTCCTCGTCCTGCTGGAGGCCCAGAGGGCTGTCACAGGATATTGTAGATGATGTGTTGGCCTCGTTCAGCATAGAGCTGAAGGGAGAAAAGAGGGAGAGAGAAATGAGTGTCCTGTCCCAGGTCTCTGGGTGGGAGAGGATTCCCAGAAACTGGGAAGTGTGTTGAGTTCCCAACAGCCCCACTGTATCTGAGCAGCTTCCCCCAGTGGAACAGACCATACCAGGTGGGTCTATTCAGCCTTCAAACACAACACATGCCTGGGTGGGTTCTACAGAACATGGTTCCCTGCGTGCTCCCCTCCCTGTGAGAGGGACTGCTTGTCCTCACCTGTGCAGGGATGTGACACTGTGCCCTATCTTAGCTCATGTCCCAGCTCCTCTGGTTTATCCCCATCCTTGTGGGCTCACACAGCTCACAGCACCTCAGATAGGGTGACATTGCCCTCCTTCTCTCCCAGTACATCCACCCCTAGTCTGTGCCTCAACAGAGCATCCCCATTTTCTCCTGAGGTGCCCATTTCAGATTTGGACAGCTGGGGGAAAGGACAGTGCTCAGGAGCAATGTTCTCACCTGGCCCTGCTGATGGAGGCCTCCTGGGGGAGGTCAGAGCTCCCCTCGGGTTTGGGGTCGGGGAGGGGGATGATGTAGTCGTTCTCGCCCCCGTGCTGGTGCACGGCTGTGTACAGGATGTGGCTGCTGGGGGAGCTGGCAGCCAGGCGGGCGTTGTTCAGCACGGGAACCGCGGGCCTGGTGCGCACGACCGCAGGGTGGTCGCTCTTCATGAACTCCTCATCCACCTGCTGGTACCTCTGCTCCCACAGGAGGGGACCAAAGAAAGGGAGAGGTCTTGTGAGTTGGGAGAATGCATTTGTGATGGGTTTCCTTTTCCTGCCTGCCAGGTTTTTCTAGAGGGGCTGGCATCTCCTAGCTGGGTTCAGCTTTCCTTACTCCAACAGAGAGAAACCATGAACCTTTCCTAAGGGAGAGATCAGTGGCACAACTTCACAGCTCCAAAATACCACATGGTTGGGGGCAGGATTTTGATCTCCTCCCAGTTCTGATTTCTGCAGTTGCTGAGTTACCAGCTGCTGTCTGGCAATGCAGTTGTCTCAGCAATGTTCCTGGGATGCCCAAACCATCTTCACTGGCTGCTCCAACTACGGCAGCCTTGGTCACAGCAAAACCCTCTGCCATAATGAATGCACACATGTCACAGTGTGTGTTCTCTGTTCCCTGACTCTCCATGAGGCCACAGACTTGCACAACCTAACCAAAGACTCCTGAAGAAAGTCCAGACCAGACTCAACACGGGTCTCCAAAGCCTGACTGAGGGCCCTCACCAAGGCACCGACCCTCTTCTGTCCCTCCAGCACAGGGTCCTTTGGACATACCTTCCTGTAGCAATCCACCAGGAGGTTTCCCATAAGCACCACCAGCTGTGAGAAGGATGGCCTGATCTCAAACTTCTCCTCCCAGCACTTCTGCATGATGCTGTAGCTGCCAAGAGGGAAGGGAGAGCAATGGGTTATCAGGTGAGGAAAACAGGTAGAAATGCTGCTGTGGCATGTAGAGCACATCCAGGGGAAACACATGCTGACAGCACTTACATCTCATCAGAGGCATGGGTGGGTTTGGACATCCTATAGCCACGTTTGATGGCATTGTAGAACTGTTCATTCATGGGCAGCTCAGGGTATGGAGTCCCTCCTGGGGGTAGAAGGAGAGCAGAAATTAGGCTGCAGGATTGCAGGCCACCATCCAGCCAACATGCATTTCACACCAAGGTGTTCTTATTTCTTTACCTTTCTTGTTTCATTTCACTTCCAAAGGCAACGTAAGCATGGGGAAGAAGGAGACAGGGAATGAAGTGCTACTCTGACTGGTAAAGTAGGGACTTGGGGGTTAGAAATGCATTTTTATTGTTTTAGAAGGGATCCTGCTACCATGCTATCAGAACTACAGACACCACCATGATCTCCAGGGCACTCACCTAGGGTGAATATCTCCCAAAGAAGAATCCCAAAAGACCACACATCACTCAGGGTAGTGTAGAGGTTGTTGAAGATGCTCTCTGGAGCCATCCACTTAAGGGGCAAGAAGGTCTAAGAGAGTATCAAAAATGAAACAAGAAGAGAGTCAGCTCTACCCACAGCAGTTGTTTCGACAGATAAGAGCCTGACACCCAAATTACAAGTGAAGAAGAGCCTTCAGATCTGCCTGTGAGTCCAACACATCTGTTGACATCTGCTGTCAGTCAGTTCTAAGAGGGATCAGTTGCCTCTTTCTTTGTGCAGAACAGACCCAGCAGGCAGGAGGAAAGAAGGGATGTGCTGTGTCCATTTCCATCCCAGCCTGCCGTGATGAATGCACACATGTCACAGTGTGTGTTCTCTGTTCCCTCACTCTCGATGAGGCCAGTGGCTTGCACAACCTGACCAAAAACTCCTGACTTTGGAAACCTGAGACCAGGCTGGAGGCTAAGGGATGACCAGAAAAGATAACATCCAGCTTATTTTCTCTTCTTACTCACTCAGAGTAATAAAAACGAAAGCCTCACTTGTCCACCTTGTATGCAGAACTGGCTGCTGCTCCTGGAATTTGCTTGCACAATGAATACCAAAATAATCTCGAGGAAGGATTGCAAAGGGGCTCAGTTTCATTTCCCATTTTGGACAGGAAACCAGCTATGTCAAGGCTGGACTGAAAACCCCAACCCCTCTGGGGGAGGGTCTCCCTGACCAAGCTCTGAGTACCTGTTTGACAGCACGTGGGAGAAAGCATGAGAGAGCTTTGCAGAACTTTGCAGATTAGATAAAGGTTGGGTTTAAGGCACCTGTCTCCATTCTCAGCCTCAGTTTCTCTGGGAATTACATGGCCTGTTTTGCTTGGGATTGGAGATTCACTAATGCCTCAGGGCTGGAGTGGAGAGGTTGTTGTTAAAATCACAAGGAAATGTTTTCTGGCAAAGCTCAATTACAGCCTTGTCCTCTCCTGCATTGAAAGATTGGAGACATCTCTCTGGAAAGTAGCTGCTTGTAAGAAGACACTTCTTCTTAACTTGTGGTCTAGTGGTTAGAGCAGAATCCTGTGAATCTCTTCCCAGAGTGGTCAGTGAGTCACTACAGCCCTACCAAGCTGCCCAACCTTGCCCTCCTCCTGCCTGAGGCTCAGGACCACACTCAGAGCTGGCAGGATGCAGCACTGCTGCTGTGATCAGGACAGTGTGCAGGGGACAATCCTGAGTTTTGCTACTTCAGGTTCTTCTGTAAAGAGCCAGGAGATGTGGGCAAGCAATTCTGCTACTTGACAGTGTGCAGAGCCAACAAAGTGAAGGATGGTTGGCTGTTGACATCATCTCCTGAGAGTCCTGCCCTGTCAGCACCTCTGGGCACACTGGTGGACAGGTGGCTCACAGGGGGACCATGTAGGGGATGCCAGACCCAGAGCCTTGGGAAGAAAGAGCTTGCAAGGCTCACACTGGTACTCACACTGCCTTTGGAGATATAGTTGGAATCCCTCATGATGTCCCTCGCCAGGCCAAAGTCACATATCTTCACCAGCTTCCCCTCACAGATGAGGACATTCCTGGCAGCCAGGTCACGGTGCACACACTGCAGGGGGACACAGAGCACTGTCACTGTGAGGAGCCTTCTCACAGCCTGAGAACACAGCGCAGCTCCAGCATCAACCCACACCCGGGGCTGCAGGAGTCACCTCATGCCATTTCAGGTGTCTCCTTCACCTCTAGGGACAATCATGGCTCCACCACCAGCAGAGCTGACACATTTTTGCTGTTTGCCTGGACTGCTTCCTCCATGACAGCATCAGCCATGCAGATCCAGCAGGGGAACCTGACCAAGCCAGCAGAGGGGATTGCCAGGGCTGGACCCAGCAAGGGGACGTGGTGGGCTGGGAGGAGGGGGTGTCTCCATCTCTGTTTGGACAACCCAGCCCAGCAGCCAGAACACATCAGAGTTACACCAGGCTTGTGCCTCCTAGTCTGCCAGCATGTTGGATGTTTTCTGTATGAGCAGCCCTGCCATTTGCTGTGGGAGCACTGACCATGCACTTTTAGGGATCAGACTGTCTGGCTGGGGGCACAGAGCCAGGAATTTCTCTCTGCATTGATGCCATTGACTCCTTCTGTTAGCCCTCTCCTGTGTGATGCTTTACACAATCCAGCTATATTACTGCCTGCCCTGGGCTAAGCCAGACCTTAGGAAACTCCAGAATCTAGTCCTCCATGGTGGCTTAATTTCCACTGAACAAGCATTTCTGCTAAGCCCTGGGGTGCTCAGAGAATGCAATGCAACAAGGGTCTAGGAAGAGTAGTTGCTTGCTGCAGAGTGCCTTGTGCTTTAGCTGCCTGCAGGCTGTTTGGCCATCCCAGTAAACAGGGATGATATAATGACACAGCTGTGCTGAACACAGCTCAGGAGGAGCACAGAGTCAGGGAATTTGAGATCTGAAGCTCAGTGTGAGCCAGGGTTAGCTGTCACATGCAAATATAATCATGCTGATCTCCAGGACTGTGTTTCCAAAGGGAAGTGGTCAGCAGCTCTTCAATTGCACAGCCACTTATCCCACAAGGAGTTTGGCACTGACAGAGGGACAGTGGGAGGAAGCTGACCACAGGACATGGCAGAAAACACACTGCTGGCCACCACCGCTACAGACCAGCCAGAATACATACATTTTTGGAAGCCAGGAACTCCATCCCATTGGCCACCTGGAAGCTGAAGCCCACCAAGTCCATGTAGCTCAGGAGTGGAGACTCATTTATCAGTGTCACCCGGTCTGTCCTTTCAGGAGCTGGAGAGCAAGCAGAGATGGATGTTGGTGTCACCCAGCACACTGGTGAACCTCCCAGTAGTGGAAGGACATATTGGGGAATGCTCTGCCTCCAGAAACAAAGGGACACAGCTAGGAACTCTCATTGTGAGGACATCCAGCACTGCTTCTGCACATGTCCCAGAAGTGACCTTTGCAAGCAAAGGCATCCAGCACCCAAAGCACAAACACCTCTCCCTCCTGCTGTGGCCAGGCTGTTACCTGAGGGGGAGTAGCTGTCCAGCTCATAGGGGGTGCCATAGTTAGAAGACTCGATGTCAGCATACTTGACTTCACCCTTCATGTCAGACATGGGCACATAGTCCAGGGAGTCATCCTTGCTCATGTCCATGTAGCCCCCGTCACTCTCGACAGACATGGAGAGGTGGCTGTGGGGGGAAGCAAAGAGGCTGCTCAGACCCAGAGGAGAGGAGGAGACATGAGGGCTGGGGGCAGATTTGTGAGTCTGAAACTCCCAAACCCTCAGCCCCAGCATCAAAATGTCCCACACAGCTGGCAGAGAAGCAATGCATCATGGATGAAGTGCTGTGCAAATGGAATAGTGCTTAGCAAGATCTCAGCTGCCTTCAGGCAGAAAGGGCAGGGGGGAGCTGTAACACTATTTTACTATTGTTTTGGTATGTTGGAAGGAAGTGCTGCTTTCTAACTTCCCAGGGGAACATTTCTCTGCACTGCTGTGCCTGCATCCTTTACAGCTGGCAACCAGATAAAGGACAAAGGACTATTTCCCTTTCCTTGTGATACCTCTTGTGCAATTGCCCTCCTTGTAGCACTTCTCCCTTAGGCTCGGTAGCAACTCAACCTGCCCTGGAAATGCAGAGCTGAGATCTCCAGTGGTTCAGACATGCTGCAAAACCCTGTGTCTCTGCACTCAGTGCATGGCTATGGTTATGCAAATAAAGTTAATGGTGCCAGGAAATATTCCCAACTGGCACGGAGCAGCTGGCAGGTGTGCTAGCAAACTCAGGCTCCGGTTTGCTAACTCCTCACTGTCAGGAGCTGCTTGGAGGTCACTGGTTGGCACATGGGCTGGTCTAACAAGGTAACAGAGGAGCCAGCTGTGTCCCAGTGCTGGGCCAGCGTTTATTTCACTGCTCTGGAGAAATGCAGGATCCTTCCTGAGAGTACCAGCCTCCCTCCGTGATGCGGCCAGGACGGGGCGGGCAGCAGGGAGGAGGAGAGAGCTGCTTTCCCGGTACCTGTGCAGGCAGCAGGGAGGAGGAGAGAGCCGCTTTCCCGTACCTGTGCACGGGGTCCTCCTTGGGGGTGTTCCCGTAGAGCTCCGCCTCCCGCCGCGCCTTGTCCCCGCAGGCCTGCAGGAAGGTGTGCTTGTTGCGGTGCAGGTAATCCACCAGGTCCCCGTAGCGGCAGTACTCCGTGATGATGTAGATGGGTCCTGGTGGGACACAACACCTGCATCAGCCCTGCCTTGGCCACCGTGGATGTGAATTCCACTGCACAAGGATATCACCAGACTGCAAGGTGTCAAGGCAGGGCCAAAGGGAAAAGCCACCTGTCTGGTACTGAGTAGTTTTTGGCATTTGAAATTTGTGTTTGTGGAGGGAGATGGGGGTTAACTGGGCCTTCCCAGTTTCAATCAGGTTGGAAGAAAGGTGTTCAGAGTCCACACAGCTTTCTTAGGAGAAGGTTGAATCATTTGGAACCAGAAAACAGGAATTACTCTATCTAAGGACAGTTGTCCTCCTAAGCACAGCCCAGGGAAGCAGAGACAGGGTGCTCAGGGCTCATGTACCTCCTTTGGTGCAGGCCCCTAGCAAGTTGACGATGTTGAGGTGAGGTCCCAGGTGACTCATGATCTTCAGCTCGGACATGAGGGCTTGCTTCTCACTGGTGCGGGCTGTGGCTGTAGGGGAGAGACAGTGTGAGCAGCAGGGCAAGGAGGGGACAGTGTGGCACTGGCTTCTCCTGTAGCTTTAGGGTGGGGAAAGGGGGAGAACTCACACTTGAGCATTTTGACCGCCACCTTCATGGTGGACCGGGAATGGCTCAGGCCATGGGCTGTTGCCTCCACCACACGACCAAAGGCACCGGAGCCGAGAGTGCGTCCTGCAAGGAGACAGCCAGGAGGAAAAGTTGGCAATGTTCTTTAACATTGAGGAGAGGTGAGGAGAAGAGCCCGGAAAATACATCTGCTTGTCTGAAACCACACCAGCATTGCTGCAGTCATCTTGGTGGGCATGGATAAGGCCATGAGCTATGGTGTTCAAGGATGGGGCTGGTTTTCAGAACTGCCAGCTGCAAGGTGGAATAGCCAGGAATAATATCATGCTTAATGCCAAAGGGGGCAGCTGGCCTCCCACCATGGTCCTAGATGATCCCCCTGTCCCAGGACCACATTGTATCTCCAGGGATCTCTTGGATTCTGGGTTGGTCCCTTTTGGATTATCCCCCCTAGACAGCCAGGATCTCAGGAATCCATCAGGGGGACTGCAAAACCTTTACCTAACACCAGCTTGTCCCTGGGCACCTCCCAGGTGGAGTCATAAGGGAGTTGCATGGGATCCACATAGATGTACTCGTGCCCATCAGAGCTGACCGACTCAATCACCTTCCAGCGGATTTCATAACGAGGTTTCTGGAAAAGGGAGCAGAGGGAAAAGAGGGATCTGAGAGGCTGGGAATCAGAGAGGGAATGGGGGATGTGGACTTTGTTAAGGAGCCTTTGGTCCCTACAGCCATTGTCTCATTCTCCCAGAGATGCCAGGGGCACACAGGAACTGATACAGGCCCATAGATCCTGGTGAGCTGGGACATCATCAGGCCCAGCCACCCCAACCCTGGGGTACCATTGTGTCAGCCTGGGAACACTCTCCTCTCTTACCTTCTGCCACAGCACGATCAGGATGATCAGGGAGATCACAGTGAGGACCAGCAAGGCCAGGATGACAGAAATGATGACCACCTTGAACGGCAAGGCTACAAAGAGAACAGGGACAGCAGTCAGACTCCTCCACCCCTGCATGGCCTGAGCAGACAGGCAAAGGAGGGGAGAGCAGTGCAGAGAGGTCCCTGTGAACTGCACACTGCTCCTCCAGACATTGACTCTGAGCTGTTCTCTGGATGGGGACAGTCTCCTCCTGGGCACACTTTCCCAGCACCTGCAGCCCCCATGGATGATGGGGTGATGGGTTGTTACTGCCTTCTGCCTCAGGAGAGGTATGGCCATGGGAGGGTGAAAAGATCTAGAGGGGCTGTTTTGCTTGGGGGAGAGCTGTCAGCCATGGGCCGGGGCTGAGACCATCCTTCCTCATATTTGGGATGTTCAAGTCCGTGGCACCATCTAGTGACCTGTGGGCTAACAACAAGGCACTGGGGACCTGCTCAGGCACTCCTGTCCTGCCTCCCTAGAGAGATGACCCTGCCAGCAGGGGGAAGAGCATATCCATGGCCATTGGACATAAGGGCTCCACACTCCCACTGGAAAAATCTTTTCTGTCAACCCAAAGGAAGCTTCATTTGGGGCAGAAGCACCCATGTTTCCAGGCTGGCAGCACAGAAAGGTCCATCTCCCCACTGCTGGCCCAAAACTCATCTCAGCCCTCACCGTGTGGCACCAGAGTGATGTCCTGGGAGCTGGTGCCCAGGAAGTTGTGCACGGTGCACCTGAGGAGCAGGGGCTCGTGCACCCTGTGCAGCTGCAGGGTGCTGTTGACGCGGTAGAGCTGCCGCTCGGCGTGGTACGAGGCGTTGGTCTGCACGCCCAGCTCGGCCGACTCGTTCCCCAGCAGCCGCGTGGGCTGGCCCTTGGTGCTGCACCTGGGCCAGAGAGGACAAAGGCACCTGAGAGCCAGCAGGGACCACACACCACCAGGGGATGCCCAGGTGAGTGTGCCAGCAGAATGCAGTTAAATAGCAGCCTGCTATTCTAACAAAAGTGTGGCTGTTCTCATGGCCTCCATCCCTCACTCACCATTTGATGTCGCTGCATGTAGACCAGCTGATCTCTGGCTGGGGCATGCCTTCAGCAGAGCACGTTACAGTCTGCTCCCCACTGCTGGCACTGCTGTTCTCCTTGAGCTCCACCACTTTAGCTGGCACTGAAACCAAAAGACAGTGATGGGAATTAATCTTCCCTCCTAAATGCAGGATGGAAGGGGAACATGATTCCTCTGGGGAATGTGAGTCTGCTGTATCCCTGCCATAGCCTAGGGATGAGGTGGGACTCATCACATCCATTGTGGTTCATTTTTGAAAGGAAACAGCAAAAAGAGTGAGGTTTGAGGGGGTTATGGAAGAGATCTGCCCCCACATAGCTTGACTGGAGAGAAGGGTGAGCATGGGGGAAAGCCCAGGACATCACAGCTGTACAATCATCTCTACATCTACTACCTTGGGCCAAGCTGATGGCATCTGTGCTGCCTCCCTCTCCCCCTTGCTCTGAGGCTAAGGGTGAGATATTTCACCCAAGTGTTTTTGTTGCTTGAACGCTCTTCCTTTAAGCAAGACCACTCTGGAGCTGCAGCCACAGGAGTAAGGGCTGAGTTCTGAGGGTTCTGCAGCAAAGGATGGTGCCACCCCTTGAGGCTGCTCCTGCTCTCCTCAACCATGTATGTACATGCCCATCCTCACCATTTATTTGCAGATGGAAGGAGATCTCCTGCTCGTCATCCTCATTGGAAGCCCGAATGGTGTAAAATCCTCCTTCTTCCTGCTTCACTCGCACCAGCACCAGAGCTGTCTGGTACCTGGGGAGACACAGTCCCAGAGTGATGGCTGTGGGAAGGTACCCGGGGACTGGTAATGCTCCCACCCACCTCAGGAGTGCTCAAAATCCACTCACAGAAAGCTATTCAATCACCAACTGTGCCCAAACAGCAGTTTGGAGATTCCTTTGTGAATTACCCCCTCTCTGCACCCTGGTGAGGAATGATGGGCCCGTACCTGGTTTCTGACAGGTTCCTGCTGGTGATGGTGAACTCACTGCTGCTCTCCATGGTCAGTGTCTTGTTGTTCTTCAGCCACACAATGCTGGGTTGGGGATAAGCCTCCACTTCCACCTGGACAGTGCGGCTCTTGTGGACCTCAGCATACACCGTGCTGGGCAGGTGGGTGTGGAACTGCACAAAGCCACGCTCTGAGGCAAGAGTAAGAGGGTGGTCAGAAAGGGGAATAACGCCCTCCCTGGCCCTTTGGATAAATATGGATCTGGAATAAAACTATCTGAACACCCAGAAGTGGTGGGGCAGCTCCAGATCCATCCCTCAAGACTTCAGGATTGTGTCTGAGGGGATGTGGATGCAGAGCCACACTGGAGCAGAGGAGCTCACAGGGCAGAAGCATGTGGCTGTTATCTTGTGGAGATAATGGAGATGGGGCAGTTTCTATCAAACTACAGGAAAGAAGGTCAGATGCAGATGGAAGACAACATATCTTAATATCACCCTGGCACTGCACAGTGCAGAGGAGCTCTTACCAATAGCCCCAAGAGCCTTAAAGGATCACAAATGCCATGAAGGGAAATTTGGGATGTTTTGAAACCAAGAAGCAGGCAGGGGTGACATGGGGTGAGGTTTGGCTTGTTGTCATGGTTACTTAGAGCAGAAGTGAGGAGGGGATAAAGCTGGAGACTGTGAGAGAGGAGGGGGGTCACTCTGGGACACCCTGCCTGGATGCCCACACGGTTTGGTGGCTCTGGGTGTGTGGGCAGCAACGCACCGATCACTTGGACAGTGATGTCCTTCCTGTCTGTCTTCTCATGGTAGCCCTCAGAGACATTGCAGACATAGGTCCCACTGTCCTCCAGCTCTGCATTCTGGATGATGAGGATGGAGCGGATCTCATGAGTGGATCCAGGCAGGAAGTCAGTCACTGGCTCCACAGCCTTCCCTGCCTGCAAAATGGGGACAGGACACATGGTATGAGGAGCCAAAACCATGTTCTGCCACTGGGCTCACAGGGAGGGGGAAGAAAGTAGAAGAGGACTCCAGTCTGGCTGCCACAGGACAGGGAACACAAACCAATGGGAGACCCTTGAGACAGACAGTCTTAACCCAAGCATATCCCCATCAAACTTCCCTGTGTGGTGGCAGCAGCAGCAGCATCCCATAACTTCTGCCATGGGATATCACTGAGTGATTGCCATGGCACACCTGGGTGAAGGCTGGAGCTGCTCCCCGAGCCTGTGGGCGTGGAGCACTCACCTGCTTGCGGGGATAGTCCCAGTTGAAGTTGACCAGCTCGTTGCCGCTCACGGTGCACATGACTGTGACGTTTTCCCCCTGGCGCACCATGGTCTGCACTGCACTGATGGACACGTTCACAGATGACACTGTGGGAGAGGTGGAAGAGAGGAAGGAATTGTGGAGGGATAAGTGTATAATGAAAGCAGGATCTCCAACAAAGAAAATTATTGGCATCTGACTCCATGGCTTTGGAATGCTGAACACTCGCTTTATTAAAACTATATTATATTACATTATACTATCCTATAACTATACTGCATCATACTTACTTCAAACTACTACTGAAAACTTGTGACTGTCAGCCAACAGTCCTGACACCCACACATGGATCCAATTGGTCAATGAATCAAAACACCAGAATCCAATCAAGCAATCACCTTGGGTAAACAATCTTCCAACACATTCCACATGTTCAAAAACACAGGAGCAGCAAATGAGATAAGAATTGTTTTGATCATTCTTTTCTCTGCTTCTGTTCATTCAGAGGGCATGTGAATACCACATAAGTGGCCACCCAGTCCATTTACCCTGGGTGGACTGGTCCACTGGGAACTGTCTTCCCTGAGGGATGGAGCTGGCTTGTAGGCAAAACCCATTCTCTAATAGAGAACTAAATATTGATCATCAGCCTCCAAACTGATCATCACTGAGGAGACAGGGAGGGAACTTTGATGCTCCTGCCACTGGCCTGAAGAAACAGCCACAGCAGGTGCACAGGTGTGCTAAGACAATGTCAGCTCACCCTGGATCCTGTAGACATAGAAAGTGTCTGAATCCACCTCCTGATCATCCACAAATGTCCGGCAGAAATAGGTTTTATCCTCAAAGAAGCCTTTAAATCCCTGTTGTGGATCATATGTAGCTGGGATGGGGTTTTCCACCTTCTTCTCATAGAGGGTGACCTGCATCTGTGGGTTGGTCACTCGGCATGGGATGACAGCCTCTGTGTAGCCCGTGATGAAGATGAAGACTTCTTCAGAGGTGACTGCAGGGAGGAAAACCAGGGAGGGGTCTGTGGGAGAGAGGGAACTCTGGTTAGAGAATGCTGCTTGGAAGCTTAACCAGGGCTGCTTTGTGCTCCTCCAGGAATATTCCACCACAGGACCCTGACTCCATGCCAGTGGGCTGCTTCTTCCCATCTTTCCCTGGGGAAAGTAGAGCTGTTGTGTGCTTGTCAAACATCATCTGAGGGTGAGAGAGACCCAGCACCACTGAGTACCACTGCTCACCCACATGTCCCAGCACACTCTCCATGAGCTGGCACACCAGAGACATGCCACAGCCAGAGAGACCCACCATGAGGGCTCTCCTGCTATTGGAGAAGGGATCTGGGGATTCCAGGTGCTTGGAGACAGAACAATAAGTCAAAGTCCTTTTTTTCCCTGGTTGCTAGACCTCATGGAAACCCACAGTCAAGGACATGCTGTCCCCTACCTGGAACATAGATGTAGAGGGCTTTCCTCTCTGCTGGCTCTGGAGCCTGCTCGGGGCTGTAGGTGCACGTGTACTCCCCAGTGTGATGGCCTGTCACGTTCCTGAGGGTGAGATTGCTCACAAAAACACCGTCCCTGTGCTCCAGCGAGGCACTGAGGGGCTGCCCCTCCCGTTCCCAGAGCAGCTCTCTGTCCCCATAGCACAGGAGGGAGAAGGTGCTGTGGAGGCTGAGGACAAGCTCCGTGTCCCCAGGTTCGATGTGCAGCCTGCGGTCCCCAGACGTCACCTCCAGCAGACCTGAGAGAGGGGTGAGATGACACCAAACTGAATTGCTCTGAAATCCACAGAGAAGCACACCTCATGGCAATGGGTTTGCTTTGCAGTGTCAGCCTTTACACTGAAAAATAACTCTCCTGGGTTTGCCTTCCCAATGTAATCAGCACTGACAAACCCACGGCCTCCTCAAAAATGTCCTGCCAGTCCAGACCGTGGTGGGTCACCCTTCATTCCCTGTACCTCCTACAACCCCTACTGGAGAGCAAATCAGACATGACTAGATTCAGCAGTATTCAATGCAGTCCATGCTGTCTGTGGCAATATTGGGTGGAGAACCCCCAAGGAGGATAGGAGGCAATTCCTTGTTCTTCTGGCTGCCTGTACACACAGACAGTGTCAGACAGGACCAGATGAGGCTGAAACAATGACAGTTTACAAGAAAGTGAAAAAGGAATGAAAGCAAAACCTTGCAGGAAATCCTTTGGAAGCAATAGAGCAGGCAAGGTCTTCCTGAATGGTTCCCCATGTCTCTCCCAGCTTCCTTGCTTCACCATCTGCCCAGATGTTCCAATGGGGCTGTGACATATTCCCCTATGGTGTCCCCACAGGTGGGCAGGACAGCTGGGGAGAGCTCCAGGGATGTGCAGCAATGCTGTGAACAGTCCAGGTGCAGCCAGGAGCCCTGGTGCCTTGCTGGGGGGGTTGTTGGGTATTTGGGATCTGACCAAATCCCTCCTGTACGTGTCCAGCTAACATGGTTCTCAGGTGTCAGCTAAGGAAGGTCTGAGCACAGCTGGCACTGCTGCCTGTGGAGAGGTCTCCTCCTCCCACCATGAACCGGGAGGGCACTCCACATCCCCCCCACCACAGGCCTGAGTCAGCCCAGGGATCTGAGCAGGGACAGGTGTGCCTGGGGCACGCTGTGCACCCCAGTGCCTCCCCATGGCACTGCCCCTTCCCTCCCCTCACCCCGAGGTGAGCCCCCACGATCACACACCCCTGCCCAGCACAGCACTCACCAGTGAGGATGAGGAGGCAGAGACACGTCCTGAGAGTGGGGCACGGCATGCTGGGCCCTGGGCTTGGTGTCCCAGTCCTGTCAGGAGCAAAGTGACATGAGCACAGCACTCAGCACAGGAGGGGTCCCTCAGCTGTCCTGGGCAGGGGGCCCTGGCCTCACTTCTCCACCTCAGAAACTTTCCATCTGTCCAGTTTTCAGCCTTTCCCTCCTGGGGGAGTGGTGCTTCCCCCTCATGCTGGATCTGCAGTTTCTAAGGCTTCTCCCACTGGTAAACAGGGATTTTGCTGGAGGCTCCAGCAGTTGTGTCAACTTTTGCTCATCTCAGCTGGAAATGCCTCTCCCCCTTGGCAGAGCCCTGCCTTCCTCCCTCCCTCCCTCCCTTCCTCTGCTTTACCACTTGCCTTTTTTCCTTAGTTTTTCTTCCCTCAGTCACTGTGAGATAAAACTTGCTAGAAAACAGATCCCCCTGCAACCCTCCCACATTGTTTGCTCCTTCCAATGAAATAAAAGAAGCCTTGCCATGGCATTTGGTTGCTGGCTGGGGTTAAACCACAACAAGCCTGAAGAAACTTCACCAAAAACGAGTTTCTTGTATTTAACTTTTAAATACATAAATTTAATAGAATATCTATGAGGGTTTTTTAAAGTTTAAAGTTCTTCTAATCAACATTTCTCAAGAAATGTTCTTTCTACAGAGCTTTTTCAGCCCTCCCCGGTGCAAAGCAGGAGCCAAAGGAGATGAGGCCAGAGCTCCCTAAGAGCAGGGATGTCTCCTGTGCATTGGGGTGACAGATACCCCTCCCCGTGGTGCTGCAGGGGTGGGAAGGAGTATTTCTGAAAAGCAAAATGAACACACGGACAAGAGGAAGAGCAAGGGAAAAGGCTTCTCTGTGCCTGGGGGAGATGAGTTCACTGGGGAGCTCGGGGATGCTCCTGCATGAGGCTGAACCTCCCAGCTCTGCCCAGGCTAAGCTCCTGCCCCACCACGGGCCCCTCCCAGGGCAGACCCCAGGAGAAGCCCCCTGAGATGCTGGCAGTGCTCTGGGGAGCTCTTGCAGGGCTAGTGGCAATCTGGACCTGCTGAGGCAGCCCCAGGCTCTCACTGAGTTCTGCCTTGGCCCTGGAGCGGCCTCCCAGCCTGCTTGATGTTAAGGAGGAAATGGTTTTTAAATGACGTGCGCTTGTCAGATGTTTTTATTATTCTCTTGCTTTGGCTCAACAGAAGTCTAAACTACCACAAATCCTTCCAGGTCTCCAGCTTATTCAGCAGCGTCCGACTCCCTCCTCCCAAAAAAATCCCTGTAACTCTTTCTCTCTCTTCGTTTGCCAGAGGGGATAAGAGCACTTAGGGCAAGAGATGGGGGTGGGTAGGATGAAAGGACCGAGGTGAAATTCAGGCTGTAAATGAATGTGACCTCTCTGCACCCACCCTCGGAGCACCAAGCTGCAGAAGAGTAAAGGAGGACAATCTAATCTCTGCCCCCCAAGGCACTGCCATGAGAACAATCACCTTCCTTTCCCCACTCTCCTTTACAGAGGTGTGTGATTCATCCATTATTCAACGTTCAAGGTCGTAAGGACAACTGGGATCCTCTCCTTTGACCCTCCCTGCCTGCCTGCCCAAGCCAGGTTGCATTCACCACCCCAGCCCCCAGATACCTGCCAGTAAGGGGCTGAGATCCTCCCGATCTAGGCTTTTATCTGCCTGTGCAGCTCCCTGGCTGTCACTGCCAGTCCCGCTGCAGCCGGGCTTCCCACACAGATGGAAAGACAGACAGCTCCCAGCCTGCAGCAGGGATCTCTGCAGGGTCACTGATGGGCAAACCCTGCCTGCTGGAGCGGGGAGCCGGGCAGGGCTGTGTGTGCTGGGGCTGGGCTGGCAGGGGGGATGGAGCTGGGGCTGGGTTAGCAGGGATATGGAGCTGGTGCTGGGCTAGCAGGAGTGATGGGTGCTGGGCTGGTAGGGGTGATGGAGCTGGGCTAGCAGAGGTGCTGGGTTAGCAGGGTGCTGGGGCTGGGCTATCAGGGGTGCTGGGCTAGCAGGGGTGCTGCTGCTTGCTGCTGCTCCTGGCCTAGCTGGGGTGTGCTGGGCTAGCAGGGGTGCAGCTGCAGTGAGCTCTGAGAGCACCGCAGCCTCCGCCTACTGCCCCTGGCCGCCTGCGCTGTGCTCGGAGCTGGTTTTAATAAAGCTGCTGCTTTTGCAGAAAGGCATTTCTCTTGGAGATGCTTCCCAAGCAGAGTGGGAGGGTGGCAGCGTCTCGCAGAGAGTGCTGACCTCTCCCTTGTTTGTGTGCTCCGGCCGGGGCAGAGGCACGCTCAGGGCCGCTGGCTGAGCTCGGTCCTGCGGGAGCAGAGGGACAAGGCTGTCCCTCCCTGGCACGGGGACACGTGTGCTTGTACATGTGGGTGAGCACAGGCGTCTCACAAGGGATGCAAATGCACCCAGCTCACTGCCAGCTTTGAGAGCACTTGTTTCTCTCCTCAGTCCCAGCTTTTGTTCTTAGCAGGAACTGTGAGTGCCAGACGAGGAGGAGCAATCCCACTCAGTGGTACAGAAGCAGGCACCCAGACATTATCCCACCCAGGGACCCAAACACAGGCACCTACACCATGCTCAGCGGCCTTGGGTGACCTCCTCTCACCCCTGTGGGTTAGCAGGGTGCCACAGACCCCTCAGACTCCTACATTCTTCTCACAAGCCAGGATTTGAGTATTTCCAAGCTATGGGATCCTTTGCCTTCAGCCATCCAGGCACAATCACGGAGGCCAGGGAGCTCCTTCAGCAATGCCAGGTCCAGCACCTTCACTCAGCCCTGCAGCTCTGTGGCAGCCTCCCACCTTGCAGAGTCACCAAGGTGCTGTCCCAGTTCTCCATCCCCATCATCACAGAGCTCCCTCCCTGCCAGCACTGGTACAGACCTTCCCTCTGCCCCTCTCCAGCTCCTCCATGTGAAGGCAAACCAGTCCTGGCCAGGCAGGGAAAGGAGCCTTTCTCTTGAGCCACACTGTTTATTATTCTAAAGGAGGAATTTGGCTGGGAGAGGAGACGGGAGGTCGGCTGGCTGGCGGGGCTGGCTGCAGCAGGAGCAGGGCAATGGGGTGACACAGCCCCACAGCACACACAGCCCCACATGCCTGTGGGGTGGCTGTGCTCCCCAGGGGCTCAGCTCCACCAGGGCTCAGGTCCTGGGGCCACGCTGGGGCCTGGCCAAGTGCCGTGGGGGAGGCTGGTCCCAGCAGCTGGCACGTCCCTGCTCGCCCCCAGTGAGGCCAGAGCCGGGCACTGCTGGACTGAGAGCGTCTGGCAGGGCCTGGAGTCCAAACAAGACACAGATACAGGCAACTGTCCCTGCCTGGTGACACAGACACTGCCTGTCCTTATCTCCCCTCTGTAATCACAGCAGCCTGGCAGAGCAGAGCGGAGTTTGCAGCAGAGATGAGGAGGGCTGAGCCAACCCTGGGGCTGCTGGCTTTCCCAGCTGGCAAAGGAGTGTCCCAGGGCTGGCTGAGGTCAGGCACTGCTGGAATCCTGCTTGAGCATCTCTGGCCTTGTGCTCTTGCAGGGGGGATGGAATAAAAGGGGTCACCCCAACACCCCAGAGCAGCACTGAGCACGGGGCTCTGATGTGATGCTGTGATCCCACAGACAGGACACGGGTGACAGGGCCAGAGCAGAGGTCAAGCAGCGTGGCCAGGGCCATGGCCAGGGCCACGCCACACCAGGACCAGATTCAAGTCTCATGATTCCCCATCCCATGACTGCACAGCTTTCCCAGAGCAGCCTGCTCCCATTTCTCCTGAATCCCAGATCTGATGACAGCTGAGCTTTCTCCTCTGCCTCCTCTCGCAGTCCCTTGCTCAGCTCAGGGCTGGGGCTGATGCCTCTGTGGCTGATGAACTGGGACTGGAATTTCTGCAGCAGGAGCAGGGCAACGCCCAGGAGTGTGGATACAAGGATTGCTGCATCCAGCCTCTGCTGGGGATGGTACCACCTGAATTTAGAGAGCCACCTCTAATGTTCCTTGCACCTCAGAGTGCCCTGCAAAGCAGCTCAAGCATCACCAGACCTTGCTGATTCATTAATGTTCCCCCACTCCAGACCTCTCTCTTGCTTAAGAATGCTAGTAAGCCTAAAATGCCTTTGCTAATGCCCAAAATATGCTGTGTGGGTTCAGTCTTCACTATTCTTGGGTTACAAGGCAAGAATTTCCTCTGACTTTGCTCTGTGTGCCCTGCCATACTCTGAGCCCCCTTTTTTGTGCAGCTGCTCACTGAGTGTCTCCCAGCACCCTGTCAGAACACACATGGAAGCCACTGCATGGCACTGCCCATCCCCAAGCATGGATCATGTAGGGCAGGAGTGTTTCCAGTCCTGTAAACATCATAAACCATGAGAGAGGATGGGTTAGGAACACCAAGGATGGGTTAGGAACACAAGGATGTCCTCCCAGTCCACTGCCCTCCTCCCAGTCCACCCAGACAATGTTTCTTGCCCCTCCACAACCAGTGCCTTGTGCAGCACCAGTGTGTGTGGGGGGGGATCCCACAAGCACCCCCAGAGCTGTGGGAGCTCAGAACCAGCCTGCAGAGCTGGTGCACAAGGAAAGGGATGGCTCAGCACGCTGGGGAGAGGGAGAGCAGCCACAGCCACCCTGAGAGCCACCTTGGCAGGAGCTCTGCTCCCCACAGACCATCAGTCACCAGTCAGGGGATGCACTGTTTGCTGGAAATCAGGGTGCACAGCCCCCCTCAGCAAATTCTAGTTTGTATTTCCAGGGGCAATTCCTGCACCCATTGCCCACATTGCTCTTCCCTCTGCTCTCCTTGCCCTCACTGCTGCTCCTGTGGTGCTGGGCAGGGGTGCTGGATGCTGGCCCTGCCCACAAGGGCATCTGGTCTGACTGGGAAGGAGCTCTCACACAGCTGCCAATCCTTTCCCTTCCTCTGGATTTCTATTTCTAGCCCCTTTTCTTGCAGGGCTGTGCTTCCAGGCGCTCCCACAATGCTTGATGGCCCTGCTGTCCTGCCAAACAGGCAAGGGACATCTGGTGCAAATTAGCGGGAAGTCAAATATA